TATGCTTTATTTTAGAGACTGTGTTACCAAGAATTGTAAGTCTATTTAGAGCAAATAATCCAAATACATTTAGTGGAGCTTTATATACCAAGTTGTTGTGAAATGCAAAATATTCCCTAAGGTAACTGCTACTTTGTGTTCATTGTGTTTGTAATCTTTCTGTTTTGGACTCTCACAGTAAGTTGTATCTGCATTAATAAGTATTCATATATAAACTTCCTGAATGTAAGAATAGTTGGACTTGGAGTAGTTGACTTTGTGGTTCCCTACCAATACTGTAAATGCCAACAAATTTGAAGAAAGTTAGAAATAAGCAAGGAAGAATACTCACTTGGAAAGTAATCCATCAGGTCCTAAAGGTTTTATGAGGTATTTATCCACTTGTTTGTCAAATAAATGATATGGCAACTGTAAGCGCATGGTGATATTATGTAGGTTTAAGGCATACAGAGTTAAATCGCCTTCTTTATACCTTGGGCTAAAAGCAAATAGATTAACTTGATAAAAATATTTATCTAATGTAAGCAATTAAAAAGTCAGTTACAAATATGATCATGGATATTAGTATTCATAATGATGATGAGTCCTTTCAGTGTCCACCCTTAAAACATGGTAAAAAGTACTGCTCTTTACACTACCATTTTCAGAGCTATTGCATTCTGCAATCTTTCCTCTTTTGCCAGGTTGAGTTGCTAGTATGTCAACTAGGAAGATGAAATAATAAAAAGTATATTTTGAGGGTTCCCGTGAATTCAAATTATAAGCCATATGAACAGAGACTTTTTCTAGCTTTAAAAAATATTGGAAACAAACAAAAAAGTTCAATCTATTGATGCTTTGCAGAATTTATCTATCCAAATAATTCTCCCATTACTCCCTAGTGCGGCCCTTACTCCTCACAGAGCTCTCATTCACTAGAAATGGGCTAGCATGACTATTTTAGCATCATTCTATCCATAAAGATAGATTCAAACCAAGAAGAGGAAGAAACCTTCTGAGACTTAAGAACATGTTTTGCTACCTGAGACCAGAGCAATGGCTCACAAAAATCTCTGTGGCCTCTTAACTGCAGGAATTGTGGTTGACTCTTTTGAAAGTAAGGTTGTTGGTGTTCTTCTTTAATAATTTCAAGTTATTAAGTATGATACAAGAGTATAAGTATATTCATATAATATTCATTCATATAAATTAGTATTTATATTCATTTATAGTTTTTCAATGAATTAACCAGTCATCTAAAAATAGTTAAATTTTCTTACATTTAGTTTGATTCATTATTTAAATCCAATATATATAGCCATTATGGATTATGGTAATTAATATCATTGCACAAAACTTTGCTGGACTGTAAATGTCTGTATTCAAGCTAAGCCTTCTCAGTTAGACTCTAAACAAACCCATTGCCATCGAACCAATCCCAATGAGTTAGACTCTGGCATATAAGAATAAGCACAACACACCGACACATCTTAGACCTGCTATATAGGCATATATGGCAATAGGATGTCAGAAGAGGAAGTTACTGATTAAGCACATAATTTGTAAATTGATTGATAAAGGGTGCTTTTCATACTTACTGATTGTTATTTGTGCAGTGAAGGTATACTCGAAGCTTGCTTCCTTCTGTACCTTTCACATTTGCCATTAACACATTGGTGCCCACCAGTTTCTTGAATAGAAGAGATAGCCAATAATCCTAGTTTTGGTGGAAGGGAGAGAAATAGATTTTTTATTTATTTCACTTCTTTAACAAAAAAAGTGGTGAGCAAATTGTTATATTACAAACAGTGCAACTGTTAACCTGTTGTTATTGTTATGTTGTTAGGTGCCATTGAGTTGGC